GCAGCTTCCCCGCTCCAGCTAGACAACGACCTATTCCTAAAGAAGTATTTCGACAGGATGAATACGCAGAGTATATCAAACAGATCCAGAAAAGAACTGTTACTCCCTCAATGTCCCCTCTATTACTTTTGGATTTCCACGCCCGTATCATGAGGGAAGCTGCTCAGTATGCACGGGATGCTATGATCGTGAAACGCCCAGAGTCGGTGGCCGCCAGATTCCTCATCATTAAAAAAGCATTTGTCGAGCTGTTTGGCGTCGAGACGTTGGGTTGGCAGAACGACTCAGGGCGTCGCACCATCTATCTAGGCATTATTTAAGTGTTGAGCTCCTTGAACGTCGAGTTCAACTTCTGCATGGCTTTGAGTTCCCCCAAGCATCTGCCGAAATACATCGTCAAATCGCCGAGCACAATCAAAACGAAGTTCGACAGGCCATCCGATCGAACCCCGATTCGAGAAGTGCGATGAAACTTTGACGGCGGATGCGAGGACTCATAGCAAGGTCACGCCTGTGGTCGCCTTTCGACAGGCGTCTTGTACTGCGCGGAGTTCGGCACGCAGGAGGGGTCTGCGCGGAGCCTGAGAAAATGACGAATCTTCTGGCTCACCACTGGTGCCCTGTCTTCTCTCATAAGCCCATCGCCACCGCCAGTGCTCGGAGATATCTTGAGGAGTTCGGCCCTCGAGCTGATCTCCGTGACCTTCCGCCGCCCACTCTCAGGTCTCCAGAGGTACGTGGATTCCCAGGTGCACTCTGCCCCAGGACCTGATGGTCTGCCGTTTGTGGCCTGGCAACGGCACCCGTCTGGCGCATGTGTCTTGGGCAAAATGCTGCGGTGGATTTTAGAAGGAAGTACACCCCTGGTCACGTTCAACGATATCAGGAAGGTTTTTGCCCCCAAAGGCAAGGAGGAAGGATATGAGGTGGCTATTATTAGGAGTGGCTCCCAGACAAGGCCCTTGGGATTAAAGAATACGCCAGACAAAATCCTGACGGGGGTTGCGGCCCGAGAGCTGAGTCGGTCCCTGAACTCTTTTATCCGCAAGATCCAGCGGGGCTTCGTAGGCGGGCGGAACTTCGGGACCAACGTTCTAGAGCTAGATACATACTCCAGGATCTTCAGCATGCAGGGCCCCATGGACGACGTCGCCATTTCTCGCAAGCCATGTCTTGTGGCTTTTGATTATGGTCAGGCTTTTCCTTCCATCGCTCATGCATGGATATTCTTATGTCTTCGATGTTTGCAGTTGCCGACGCCACTCTTCCACTTCTTCTGGTGCTTGTATCAAAATGTACGGACCTTAACGTTCGCCGCGAACGAGCTGATGTTCGCGTTCATGATCGAGAGTGGGATCATTCAGGGCTGCCCGGCCTCTGGTGCTCTCTACGCGATCGCCTCCCACGCCTTCTTAGCGGACGTAGACAAACTACTCACTTCTAGAGAGGCCCCTGGTGTCATGACTACCAGAAAATACCATGGTCGAGTTCGCGGGATCGCTCGTGCGTGTGCGGATGATATCGGAGCTGCACTACATGCGCTGGCTCATCTTTGTCGACTGAAACGCCCTTTCGATGTGAGCCGTAAGCTTGCAGGCCTCACTCTGAAGGTTTCAAAATGTTATATAGTTCCATTGGGTGGTCAGTGCACCCCAGAGCTGATTCAAACTTTTAAGGACTGGCTGGCCGCCAACATTCCCGAATGGGGGGCCTTCCAGATTGTTCCGTTTCTGACGTACCTCGGTTTTGTCTTGGGCCCTGGGGCCGATCTTGAAGCTTGGAAGGCCCCCCATCGAGAAGTGGTTTCGTCGTGGTGGGGAAATTGTAAGAGCTCGAGCCCCCACGTCTACCACTCAGTATTTGTATAGTAAGCGAGCCGCCCCCACCCTTTCATATATAGCGCAGTACATGCCATTGCCCAGCACGATAGACAATTGTGACATTTATAGACGCGAGCATGCACTGCTCGCAGCCTTACCTCGCATGCCACACAGTGCGTTCTCTCGTGCTGAATTCTTCGGGTGGTGGGAGTGGGGCGGACCTCGGATCCCCAGCATTGCCATCGCAGCCGCTGCCGCGCTGCTACGTACTGCTCTTGTCACTCTTCCTGACTGGCGAGCTTTATTCACCACGCTCGCCGCTGCCGCTCAGCAAAACTTAAGTCTCATGGAGATCGCTGCTGGCAAATTGTCTCCCAGCCACTGGCGTTCTTTGCCTCTGGTCCAGAATTTGCAGAAGGCTGCCTCAGGATTCGAAGGCGACCTTCTCTTTGCTCGAGCTGGTAATGATGTCTGCTCGGCTGCCTGTCAAATTCTAGCCACCGCGGATCCACGGCGGCAAAAGCCGAAGATCCAGCGGGAAATTGCCGAGACGCTCCGCCAGGCTGTGTTTCCCAACTCTTTTGGAGACGCTTGTGCGCGAAGATATTGCAGTTTGTTCCCTGCGCTCAGAGCCAAGATAGCCGCTGTCGACTGGTCTGCCGTTCAAGTGGTTTTGAAAA